TTATAATAGTGTAACTTGTTAAAATAAAAATGTATTTTTTAAACATGTTTTATTTGATATACGATTATGTATGTTAATTTGATAAAAGTTTAAAATGAAACATTTAAAAGTAAAGGACGTAAAGTAATTAATTAACTAATTATAGGGATATAAAATGTAAATTTAAAATTATAATTAAAAAAAAATCCGTTGAATGTGAGAGGTAAATATATGTGAGGGGGTGAATGTATGTGAGGAGAGGAAGGGGTGAAAAAGTGAAAAGGGTATCTTGGTCATTTAGAATTTTAAGAATGAATTTGCTTAATAAGATAGTATAGATAATATCAGTAATCTCACAAAATTCAAGCACAATTCAATATATGCTTTCCCATAAATAATCATTGTTCATTACTCTTGAATCAATTCAAAGTTGAGTTTGAGAAGCCAAAATAAAAAACGAAAAGACAAACCTTAACCTGATCCTCATCCCATATGTATGTTTATGAATATGTAGGGAGCCCGAAAGGTAGAGGGTGAGAGATAGGGTCATGGCCTGTTTGTTAGTGGGACTCGCAACTTATTTAGTCAATATAAATTATTATTTGGTAGTGGCATAATGATATAGAAAGTGGCTTACTCAGTAAGATTCTTTTTTTTTTTTGAGGGGGCGCTTTATACAGAAAGCCAAGTTTTTTCCGAACATGTCCCTCCCAATTAAATCACACTCCTTCCATCTATGAAAAAACCGTCCAAATAATAACCTTCCCAATCTATATAAGCAGATTAATCCATACAGACAGATTTATCCATACAGGACTTAATGGAAAACCAACCAAACAGCCCTTAGCAAGTTAGACGAGAGGTTTGTAGTTTCCAATAAATTGCTATACTGTTAACAGTAATTCTATGTGGTCAAGGGTTGACTGAGTTTGTGGGAGGTAAACGTGGATGCATCCTGATCATTAGGAGATGTGGCTAGTGGTAGCTAGTAAATTTCCTTTATTTTAGCTAGTTTGTTATTCCCAGTAGGAGTTTAAATATCATTGCTG